TGCTCTTTCATCCATCCCCTACCTCCATAGATAGCAAAAGCTTGATCGTAGAAAAATCTCCTTTTCAGGGTGTCCTCCATTTTGCCCCTGTCTACGATGTCATCTTTGGGTTGCAAGGCCAGCTCCTACACGGGATTTTTAAAAGAAAAGCACGGGATCAAGGGAGTAGGTGAACATTTGAACATATATGTAGGAATTTCGTTTCTTCCTCAATATAAATCTATCCAACAGGGGAGATTTTGATACCATTAAAAAGGAAAAAAATTTAAGCCTTAAGGTTGTTTCCCCCTCACCCCCACCCCCTTGGGAGGCACAGAAAAGACACATTTTCTGAATTCTCTAAGCAAGCAGACGGTGGCCATTTCCAAGATTAAAGGGCTAAGCTGACTGAGGTGCAGACACCAGATTCAGAGTGGGTCCAGTAAGGGACTGGGGTCCTATCAACCCAAAGCACGTCAGCTGGGCGATGGGAGGAGCTTTACTCTTTGAAAGGTTTGAGAGCTTTGTTCCTTCAAAAAGAACAGTAAACCATTATTGCCGAAGCTGGGGGATTGAGTCACGAAGAGCCCAGTGTTACCAGGGAAACTCCTGGAGCACAGCCTCCGATTTGGGGCTGGCTTCATGGGGCAGGTGACCATGTTGAGTGCACTCTGAACGGACGAGTGCCTGCCAGGTAAACGTGGACACAGAGTGGACAGAGAACCCAATGAACGTCCTCGGACCCCTTCTAGGGCGCTCTCACCCAGCTGACTGCAACCTGAGGAATCCTACGCCCACTTACAGTTCTAGTTTAGGGTCCCAAGACTCACCTTGGCTTCCAGAATCCTCTTCCGGGCTTTGAGCTCAGCTACTGCCTTGTCTACATCTACTTGGGGTGCTTTGTCCTCTTTCAACTTCCGGACAAGATCTCCCTGGCAAAAGAGAACACATGCGGACGCGATTCAGAAGTCAAGAAAAGCTAGGAGTGCGTTTCTAAATAGGTCTTTCAGCCAGGTATCTATGTATTCTTGATACAATTCAAATGCTTATTATATGGGCAGGCATGAAGAGCTAAAGGTATCTGCCCCCAGCATTTATAATAATTTAGTAAAATATAGAGAGAAGTAAATATATAACTTGCTCATAGGGTGAGGATAGTCCTGATTTTTCCCTAGTGGGTGGGGGTGGGAGAAGCAAAGAGAATTGATGAAAAGTAGGTGGGACTAAGGTTCTACTGGGAGCAGAACCACTGAGTTGATTCCAAAGCTCCTTGACCCTACATGGGATTACCAAGACTACCAGTGTATATGGGAGCAGTCAGCTTCATCTTCCTCTCTCCGAGCAACTGGTGTGCATCACTGTCCACCTTGAGGATAGCGCCCTATGCAGTGACAGGCTCGGCCTGAACCCTCACAGTCTGACAACAACGGCAAACCTGTAGGGCAGAATAGAACTGTCCCGTGGCTTTCCAAAACTGCAAATCTTCACAGGAGCACAAAGCCTACTTTCCCCCCTCATTTTAGAACTCTAAGGTACTTGTTATAAAAGGGAACACTGGGCCCAATGCAGTTGAGAGCCAGAGAATTAGTTTTCCTCTCATTTCTTGTCACCAGGAGAAATTCATGTAAGATTTGCACTGGGCGCAGAATATGGTCGACTCTTATGCTAGCAATTCTTTTTTTTTTTTTCAAAGACTAAATCCATAGTTACTCTTTTATTTTTCCATTTCCTACTCTAAAATAATTGCACGCATGACAAGTATTCTTAAAAACAGATGATGAAAAGTCATTAAGTGGCATACATGTATTAGAAACGGTGCCAACACAGTTCTTGTTTTCAAGCAAAATCAAGTGAAATTTGAATCTTTAACATATTATGAATATCAAATTTATTGGAGTAGTTTTTACAAAACAGTCCACAAAGGCACGTTGCCCTGAAGTGTACAGGTCCTGTAATCTCCATGGCAACATATAACCAAGGTGAGTGAGTACACACTTGTTTATCTAGTCCATTCAAATGACTTGCAATGTGGTATCAGTGTCTTCCCTCTTGCAACAGAACTGTGTATGAACAAATGTAAGATTAGGGGTTATTTAGCATGCAATCTGAGAAAACCAGAAGATTCCAAAGCTATTTGATGACTTTACTATCTTTATTGGCCCTTGTTCCAGCAGACATTGTTACATATGTGAACCCCAGGTGTAATAGGATGTGTGGTCTTTGACAACGAGGCAATTCTTATTCTAGTACACTAGCTAAAGAACAACCTCCGTTACCAACTGACTCTATGTTAGCTTTTCCAGTATACTGCCAATACCTGCAGACATCCTATCAACATACTGGCTCATTTGTGTATAAGCATTTCAGCCGTCTGTCATTATAAACCCACGACCACTGCGTCAATTCCAACTCATGGCAACTCTGTATAGGGTTTATGAGATTATAAATCTTTCTGCGAACAGCCAGAACGACTGGTGGGCTGGTGGTTAGCAGCAAATGCTAACCTGTGGTTAGCGAATGGAAGTATGCCCTCTGAAGACAGGAATTCTAATGTGTCCCCTGCTGCACCCACAAAAACAAAGCCGTCTGTGGTATAGAGGAGATAGAGCAGGTGAATGAGCCTCTTGTTAACCAGAATGCTAGAAATAGAGCAAATTTAAGATTTAGTTTGTTAGAAATCCAAAATGTAACAGCCCCCTCCCATCCTGTAAAAGCTCCTTTTAAACATACTTAGCAGGGAGTAATAAACTTAGGAAGGCAGTAACCCCAAAACCAAGCTCATTGCCACCAAGTCAATTCCGACTCCTAGTGACCCTGTAAGGCAGGATAGAACTGCCCTTGTGAACTTCTAGGGCAGCAGTTCTTTACGGGCCTTCCCTATTGAAAGCCTCTCCCTCGGAGCAGCTGGTAGTTTTGAACCACTGAACCTTGTGGTTAGCGGCGCAATGCATAACCACTATGCTGTCAGGGCTCCTTAAGTCACGGAGAAAGGCACAAACACCCACTATTTAGATAAACAATAAAGCATCAAGTTTTGGGGTACAGAGGTCTAGGAGTCCTATATGTGCCCCCAAGAGATATGTTTTGGGGTGGGCTTACCTCCCACCCCCCAATATACTTTTGCCTAATGCACTGGTAACCCCCTGAGAAATGTAGGCATCAACTGTTTTCTGTGATCATTGCAGAAATCCGCTTCTTTAGTGACATTTATAATGTATGAAATCCACTAAATCACTCAGCCTATATACATCCTAAATTAAAGTTAACAATGCGGTCACTGCAACACCAGCGGGCTTTGTAAACAACGCAAAACCTATGTTGTCACATTGTTGCTGTTGGGAGGAGCAGCAGAGGGACCCACTGCTGGTCCTGCACCGCCCAATGGTTCTTGTGTTTGAGCTGGTTGTGGCAGCCGCGGTGTCGGTCCACTCAGGGAGGGCCTTCCTCTTTTTCACTGTCCCCCCATTTCACCAAACAGTGTCCTTCTCCGGGGACTGCTCTCTCCGTGCTCCATGTCCAGAACACAGGAGATGACGTCTTGCCACTCTTGCTTATAAGGAACATTCTGGTCTTCTTCTAAGACAGGTTTGTTTGTTCTTTTTGCAGGGCATGGACTTTCAATAATATTCTTCGTCAATACCATAATTCAAATGCATGGGTTCTTCTGTCTTCCCTATTTAATGTCCAACTTTCACACGCAGATGAGGTAATTCAGCTGACTCATGGCTTGGATCAGTTGCACCTTAGTCTTCAAAGTAGCATCTTTACTTTTCAACACTTCAAAGTGGTCTTGTGCAAATGTACCTAATGCAATGTCGCTTGATCTCTTGACTGCTGCTTCCACCAGCACTGACTGTGGATCCCAGCAAGATGAAATCCTTGACAACGTCAGTCTTTTCTCCAAGTTGTTACCTACTGGCCCAGTTGTAAGGCTTTGGGTTTTCTCTATACTGACGTACTTGATTTTCTAACATTGTGAAGGTAGCAGACTTCAATTCATGCTTTTAATTCATTTTATTCTGATCACGTATTATCTAAGAAAATTAATAGATGCTAAGTTTAAAACTCTTTGATCATCATTATTGTCCTAATTTCCCAAGCGAATGGCCTACACGAACAGACAGGCTGAGTGATTTAGTGGGTACGTATAGTGGCATAGTGGGTCTGTGCTGGGCTAACTACAAGATCAACCACCACCCACTGCAATTCAGAAAGATGGGTTTTCAACTCCCATAAGGAGCTAGTCTCAAACTCATCGGGGGACTTCTACGCTGTCCTAAATGGTTGCCATGAGTTGGCATCTTCTCGATGGCAGGTGAGTTTGGTTTGGTTTTTCTGTTTGTTGCATTGTTAACTAACTTAGGATCTCTATAGGCGGAGTGATATAGTGCTGTTAACTCTACTTAGGATAAAGGAATCAGCCACGAGAAAAACAGGTTATGAGCTGGGGCATTAAAGAAGGTACCCCTAGACAGAGCTTCCTTTAAGAACATGAGTACTGACCACAAGGGAAGGAACAGCCACGTCCCAGGAGGTAAATCCTGTGGCTCAGTGAATTGTGGATTGTACTCCCAGATGAGAAGGCTATCACACTCTTATAAGAAAAGAAAGGTAGCAAGACGGATGTGCTGATATTCAAAGGAGTAGAAAAACTCCAACTGTATAGTGAAGAGTAAGGCCGACCTGGAGACTGTATCTCTCGGTCCTTCCAGATCCATTAATAAAATGTCTGCTGACTCTCAGCCCACCTCTGTGCCGGCCGGGCTGCAGCAGCGGGGGGCTGGGCTATAGTCCGGTTACACTCACTTCAGAACAAACTTGGGGATTTTTCTGATCCGCTGGTCTCTTCTGTCACAGCAACGGAGGCACTCATGCGTTTACTGACTGGCCATGCTACCTACACTTTAATATCGTGCCAATCACACAGTACTGAGCAATCATCTACTGGCTCCTTCTTTACGCATTGAAGGGGCAGCAGGGGTTCTTTTCCAGCCTCTACCTGCCACAGCCCTCATCTCACAAGCTCACACTAACTGTGCTTTCTCACGGCAGGAAGAACCCCGAGCGTGGCGAGTAGGGGTTCCTTTTGGAAAAGTGTGGGAATGTAGTTCTTTTGAATGGCTCCTCTGTGTCTCAAGTGTTGGTGCGCTAGCATATACTGATCAGCTAGGCCTCAAGTAAAAAGGTAGAAAAAATTCAAAATTCGTTTCCTTCAATAATGTTTCTTTTTCCTTTGACAGTTCAGGGACAGAACTGGTGCTGTCCCTTCCATTCATGGGGAGGCTGTAGGGCAGAGCGGAGCTGTGTGCGCCGCAGCCTGCGGTCTTTCTGTGAACAGCTCACCGGGGCTTTTGCTGCCGTAGAGATGCTGCTGGGTTTTGGTGGGCACCACACGTTAGCACCAGCGTGAGACAGGGCTACGTAGGGAGAGCAGATATTCAAGCGGAGGCTAGCTATCGCATGAAGAAGTGTGGCTTTCTACCCTAAGTTACTGAGCTCTCAGGTCTCAGGCAGCAAAGGAGAACGGCCATGACCCCTCTGAACTAGCAGAGAGGAAGGAAAACGGTCACTTGAGTGACCCAATCCAGAAAACAGCACTTGGAGATGACCTGGACATGGAACAGAGTGCCCGAGAATTCCTGATTTCTAACAAAGAGTTCAACCAAAAGCAACAACAAAAGAGAATTCTTGATTTCTGATTTTGCTCTCTTTTTCACGATCCAACTGTAATATGCATCATGTGTCTGAAAACTGATGTGAAACATTACCTCTTCACCAAATTACACTCCAGAAACATCAACCGTAAACTGAGCCCCTGCATAAACTCTTACCACAACGAAGAAACTATTAGAACTAAGAGTCTGTAATTATACAGCTGAGTAGTCATTAGATGAGAAAACCATTCCAAAGGATCTTATCTTCTTCAGGGATCCTTCATACATATCATAGTGTATGTTCAGTTGACCAAGGGCGGGGCAGGGGGCTGGGGTGGCAAGAAACTATTCTCCTCCCTTTTGTACAGTGTCTGGCTTTAAACTGTATTTACAGGAGACTAAAGGGGTCTCCTGTAGGATTGGAGTTCACCTCGGCTTCCTAAGAGTCTGATAATTATTAACACAAATGCCATAAATATTCCATTGGCCCTTTGTAGATTACACAAGAGTTTTAACTGGTATTTGCAGTTCAGAAAAATCAAAGCAAAGCAAATGCCAGGGCTCACCACAGTAATCCTCCCCCACTACTTAGATTTGAGTTTTCGTTGTGCCTTCCTAATCCCAATAAAGCAAGACTTGGAATGCTAAAACAGAACTGTATCATTCATACATCTTAGGCTGGTGGGTCAAACCGCCCGGTGGTGCCACAAAAGAAAGGCCTGGTTTCTGGCTTCTGTAAAAAGATTATAGCCAAGAAAACCCTAGGAGACAGTTCTACTCTGTATCCCATAGGGTGGCCAGGAGTCTATGAACGTCACAGAAAAGAATTTACAGTTAACATCTTAAAAGTTCTTTCAATCCTCTAATAAATGTTCCTTTATGTTATCCGGCCAGAAGTCCCCAGGAAAAACGTGGGTTCCGTGGCAGCAGCAGGTCGAGAAAACCAGCATGCCAAAAAGCCACCCTCAGCGCAGACACTGCTGGGGGCCCACCATGTGTCTGTCAGTTTGCTGTACTGCGGTGGAGCTGCTGAGCGGCTGAAAGCTTGTCGTGGTGTCTCACACACCGGCCGGGTCACCCAGAGGGAACACGCTTCAGCAGAGCTTCCAGACTAAGAACAGGCGATGAAGGAACAGGCTGCCCACTTCAGAGGAAGCAGCCACTGAGAACCCTATGAACACCAGAAGCAGAACATTATCCGAGACTGTGCCAAAGGATGAGCCCCTGTATCAGAAGGCCCTCATGATACGACTGAGGAAGAGCTGCCTTCTCAATGCAGCGCCCATAACGTAGAAGAGGGAGTTAAGCCTTCAGGACCTTCATTTGCAGATGGGGCATGATTCAAAAGAAGAAGAGCTGCAAACATTAATTAACACGGGTACCTGGAATGTATGAAGTATGAATCTAGGAACACTGGAAGTTGTTGAAAATGAAAAGAAACGTATAAAGATCGACATTGTAAGCATTAGTGAGCTGAAATGGACTGACTGGGCATTTTGAATCAGAAAGCCATGTGGTTTACTATGCCAGGAATGACCATCCAAAAGGACATTTCAAGATGTACCTTCAAGGACAAGGCTGTCTGTGACAGGATAATGTCTAGCAACAGACAAAGCCATCTAATCAGTACAATTATTATTCAAATTTATGTAACAACCACTAAGGCTAGTGATGAAATTGAAAAATTCTATAAATGTCTCTACTCTAAAATTGATTAAATACGCTATCAAGAAGCATTGATCATTATTGGTGACTGAAATGCTAAGCTGTAAACAGAGAGGAAGAAACACTATTTGGAAATCATGGTATTAGTGACACTGGCGATCACATGATAGAATTTTGCAAGACCAACAACCTGCTCACAGCAAATACCTTTTTGCAACAACACAAAAGGCAACGCTACACATGAATTTCTGCAAGTGGAATACACAGAAGTCAAATCGACTCCATTTGTGGAACCATAGAGAAGCTCAGTAATAGCAGCTAAAACCAGGCCAGAGGCCAACTGCGGAACAAACATCAGTTGCTCATGCACAAGGAAGAAAACTAAACCAGGAGCCAACTATAACCTTGGAGATGTCGCAGCCAAATTTTGGACACACCTCACGAACAGATTTGAAACATTTAACACTAATGACAGAAGACCCGATGAGCTGTGGGATGACATCAAGAATATCGTACATACAGAAAGCAAAAAGTCATTGAAAAGACAGGAAAGAAAGAAAAGATAAAAATGGATGTCAGGAGAGACTCTGAATTTTTTTCTTTCTTGCTTGCTTTGATTTTTTTCCTTGATTGCAGAGAAGCTACGGCAAATGGAAGAAATGATGAAGAGAACATTTCAAGGGACAGATCAAGAAGACAAAGCAAACCCAAAAAGGAGAACACACTCAGCACACCTGAAACTGAAAGAATGAGCAAAACTTCAAGGCTCAAGTTGCAGTATTGAAAGATTCTGTGGGCACAATATTGAGTGAGGCAGAAAGCACCAAAAGAAGACAGAAAGAATAGCATCACTGTACCAAAAAGACGTAGTGAACCGACCATTTCAAGAGGTAGCATATGAACAAGAACCAATGGTGCCGAACCAATAGGCAACATCATGATAAATGGGGAAAAGATTGAAATTGTCAAGGATCTCATAGAAACACTAATCAACGCTTGAATCCACCATCGATGCTCCTGAAAGCAAGAGTCCAGAGACCACACAATGTGTTGCACTGGACCAGTGTGCTGCACAAGGCCTCTTGAAAGTGTTGGAAAGCAAGGATGTTACTGTGAGGAGTAGGGTGCACCTGACCCCAGTCATGGTGTTTGGAATCACTTCATCTGCATGTGGTCTTTATGGGAGCAGACTGCCTCGACTCTCTCCCATAGAGTAGATGGAGGATTCAAACCACTGACCATGTGCCTACTAACTGTGCCACCAGGCTTCCTTAGCAGATCAGTCCAAGGAAACCAAACTCACTGTCACTGAGTGGATGCCATCTCATGGCAACCCTATAGGGCAGGGTAGAACTGCCCCTGTGGGTTTCCGAGACACCTTTTCACGTGAGTAGAAAGCCTAGTCTTCTCCAGAAGAGCAGCTGGTAGTTTTGAACTGCTGGCCCTGTGGTTAGCAGCATAATTACTATGCCATCAAACGTATACAAAACACATGCCACTAACAAGAGTGATCACTGAGCACCTGGAAAACCACACTCCAGGGACACCTGAGATGGCATAAACTTTGCAACGAAAAGACAAAAAAATAGGTAGAAATGACAGAGTGTCTCATTTCCCCAAACACAAAGCAAAGGAGTCAAATAAATGATCATTAAGTTCCCTTCCAGCTCATGCAGTTAATTGATTTGTGTGCAGCCCTGCAAAAGAGGACCCAAACTTGTGGACATAAACTAACTTACGTATTTGGAAAATATTTCAAAGTACAAAAACATCCACAAAACTACTAAGCCGACATTCTCTAAACACTAGACAGTGGTAGCATCAGAAGCCGGTCCACAATGCAACTTCATGTAACCAGCTCCATCATCTTACTGCAAAAGGGGAATTTGCACTGTAGTTCCAGGCTAACGTGGCAGGGGGAGGGGTTTGCAGGGTGAGGGTGGTTTCTTTCTTTCTTTCTTTTTTTTTTTTGCTTCCCTCATTTAGATGTATTCTCCCTTCTAAAGAGGAGGAAGAGAATATTGAAAGTCACAGAAATGACAAAAGAGCCACACCTAATTTTATTTGGGAAGGCTAGGCAGTGGGAGAGAATAAGCACGCACAGTGTCCTTGACACTAATACCAAAGAACCATTAGACCCGCCGTGAAATTGCACGTTAAAACTCTACCGAGGCAGGCTGACTCAAACCAGAGAGAGGCAGAGATTGCGAGAGCGTGGCAGGATTTACAGCCGCTCCTGGCCCCAGTGAAGCACTTAGGCGCGGCGGGTTCCACCCTGAGGAGCTGAGGCAAGTTATTGCATCAGGCGGCCGTGCAGGCGAAACACGTTTGGTGTTTACTCCTAGGTCACGGATCCCTGGGGTCCGGCAGCAAGGTTTTGGCTCGACCCGATTGGCTGGGAGAATCCATTTAAAATCATCTTTGTCCTCTCCAAATGCGGATCTCTATGCAGTGGCTTAGGCAAAGGCGGCTGTGTCAAACCATCCAGCCCGCGAAACCTTCCCTCCCTTCTGCAAAATCAAATCTCAGAGATGCTCAGCACCGAGATGGCTGATTCTTCGAGAAACTCGGCAACATTTACGATTCTCCCGGTTTGAGAAGCCAGAACAGGAGTCGGGAGAGGAGGGCCTGGATTGGCATCCAGATGGGAAAAGAAGGTTCAGCACCTCCCCACCTCCACGTTTCAACTGCTCTCATTCCCTGAGCCAGGTCACTGGGATAACGAAGCACTCCGCAAAGGGAGATTTGGAGGATAAAAAGCGAGAACCCATCGCATCGGCTTATAAATGATCCGGGAGGGGGGGAGCGCACCTGCAGGCTTGCAAAGAGTGAAAGCTGAGGTTGCCTAGCTAAGAACACGCGGAGCCCAAGGGTCACGGACCCCAGGGCGAGGGCAGGGGCGTGGGCAATGACCAGCACTGGGAAGGCAGCGCGGATCGGGGTGGGGTGGGGAGCAGCAGAGTATAGAAGGGGATCGGAATGAATCACGCAGGGAAAGGGAAGGAAGGACGGGGTTGGGGAGGTGGTGGAGCGAGCGCAGTGGTGGCCTACATATTCAGAGGCGATCCAAAGCTGGGGGAATGAAGGAGATGCCAAGAGATGAAGGGCGCCCAGAGAATGAAGAGGCCCGGACCAGGGTGGGGAGCAGGGAGATGACCGCGAGGAGACCGGGGACGGGAGAGTGCGAGGAGGAAAAGAGGACGCAATGCCGGTACCTGCTGGCGCACGGCCAGTCTGAGAGGTGCCAGCACCTCTTCAGCTCCGGCGCCGTCCATGCTGCTCCGGGAGGCGGCGGCGGAGATGGACAACCGGGGACCGGAGGGCGTGCTGAGGGGCCGGCGGGCCGCGATCGGAGGCCGGGGCTGGGGCCGGGGCACCAGGCGGGGTGGCAGCGACAGCAGCAGAGCGGCACCAGCAGCTCTAAGAAGCGCCGGGCGCGGGGAGGGCATGAGCGGGCGGTCCCGGGAAGTCCAGAGGGGGCGGTGGCGGAAGCGGCGCGCGTGGCCCGGCCCGGAGCATGATGAAATCGCCGCGTAAACGCCGCGGCGCGTGCGCAGCCGCACATTCCACACGCCGCGGCGCGGCGCCCGCTCGCGGCCAGCAGATTCGACACAAAAGCCCGACTTTCGTTTTTGCTCGGTCGCGGGTTCTGCCCCCATCGCGAGCCTGCTGGCGCTGTGAGGTCACAGGTAGCCCCGCGCGAACGGCTTTCTGCAGAAATGCGTCTACCCATTTCATTTCACCTACAGCGCCCCCTCGACACGCTTGCACACGGATGCTGAGACTGTTGGATCCTTTTACACGTCCACTTCTGCTGCTGTTCTTTCAGTCCCGGGAACGGAAAGGGCATAAAACATGAGATCACATAGGGAACTAGACGACAGTTGCCCAACCCCCCTTTGAAAAAACAAAACAAAACTTGCTTGGACTCACCATCAAAGCCCAAGGAAGCCGCAGTGTAGAGATCGAAGGGCGCATTGCATTGGGTAAATGTGCTTTATCTTTCAATCTCCTCGTATGCATGGGAAATTTGGACACTGAGTAAGGATAACTGGAGAAGAATCGATGAATTATGGTGCTGGAGACAGATATTGGAAGTGCTAAGGACGGCCAAAGGAGGGGCTGGGGGTGGGCTGGGGTACCTGTCTTGGAACAAGTCCAGTCAGAACTTCTCATGTACTTTGGACATGTGATCAGGAGAGCCCAGTCCCTGGATAAAGACATCCGTTTTGGTAAAGTGGAGGGGCAGCGAAAAAGAGGAAGGCCCTCAACAAGGTGGATTGATATCGGGGCCCCAATGATAGGCTAGAAGGGAACAATTGGGAGCGTCTCGCAGAACCAGGCAGTGTGATGTTCTGTCGTACACCGGGTCTCTATGCGTCCAAGGCGACTGAACGCACCTCACAGCAAGAAAGGTGTAATCTGTAAAACAGAGCCGGACTGCCCCCCACCAGCCACCCTGCACTGCACTGTCTCTGGCGTCTCACTGACTTGAGCAGATGCCAAGTTGGCACAGATCTCATTGGTCCTGTACCCCAGGGCTTTGGCTTCAGTTCTGGGGGCTTCCTAGGCCTCTGCCTGGATGTGGGAGGAGGATGGGGTAGAGGAGAGGATCTTCTTTCTTGGAAAGGGCCCAGGGGATGGGTGCTGTGGGGTCGTGGGCAAGGAGGAAGGCTGTTTCCTGTGTTTTAAGTAGAAACAATGGATATTAAAAGCAGCAGCAGCTAACTGAAATGATAACAAACCCATTTACTATGATCCAGTAGAGATAAGCCTGAAGGACTACAGTTTGTTACCACTGGTACAGCCTGTCCCTCGGGTTGGAGAAAAGATTGTGTCCAAGCTTTGGGAACTAATATCTGATTGCTCTCCTGATGTCTCAGAGTACAAGGAAGATAAAAATATTAAGCCCCAATCCAGGCCCAGGCCCAACAAGCCCATGTAGAAAGCCTTTCATCTTTATCTGCTTTGCAAGAAAGAACACGGAAAGTTTCATTTGGCAGATGCGTTAGACTGGGTAGACTAGAGAAACAAGTCCTGAGACCCTCATCTATGTGGAAGAAAGAGTCTTATATCAAAGAGCAATTGTCCACTGAGAAGATAGCCCAGCCCATTCCAGATCAAGTGCAGAAGTCTGATATTTGTCCATCTGTTCAATACTAGTCCATAAATTCCTCTTGAGACTCACGTTGCCACTAGCAACAATGCTGAATGCAGGAAGATCACCTGCGGTTGGGTGAAAACCTGTGGATCCCATGGCAGTGGAAGCATCCCAGGGCTGTCTCTGCAATATTCACCAAATGGCTCACTCTGGTCTCAGCGTAGCTCCACATGGCATGTCCTCAGGAACACCAAGGCAGAGTGTGGCCCATCTCCAAGGAGAAAAAGAGGACGTTCCCAGAATCCTCATGAGAAGGCCACACCCACAAGGAGGCATCATCAGGCTTGTCACCTGATTGACAGGCTGGACTCCACCTCTAGATCTATTTATCAAGTTGACATGAAATGATGTAACTATCACAGCGGATCACAACCAAAAAATGGACCTGAGGTAGTGGAGGATGCTGTGATGCTGGAGAAAAGGACCACAATTTCCTGGAGAGAACGGACTGACCCAAGGAGAATAATTGTTATATTTATTAGAAATGCCACATCAAGCACAGACCTTGTCTGAGCTCAGCATCTCCACCTGCTTGTTTGCAAATGTCTTCTTTGTGAAAGTGACTGTAACCAAACTTTTTTTGTTTTTTTTAAGATTAGGATATTGTATGCATTTTTTGTTATCTTCATCTTACTGCAGGAAAAATAAAATCTACCTCATTTAAAAGAATATGGGTTCTGTAGACTTCTTTTTCCCGGTTTAACTTCAGCAGCAAGGTTTAAATCGGAAATTCACTCTGGGCATCACTCTATTGCTGTGAATGGTTTCTTCTTTTCCTTATTTCTTTGACCACCAAGGAGCAACTGGCAGAGGAGTCTGTAACATCGAGCACACAAAGTCCTGCATATCTTATCTCCTTGCTTCTCATTAAGTAACACTTTAAAGCATTAAAGCCTGTTAACGCTTCAGTTCTTTGCAACAGTTGCATTGTTCCATTGAATCTGGAACATCTTCTACATTTCAACCATTTCAAAGGTGGCTGGATTTGTTGTAGGCCCTAAAGCAAAGACTCCTTCCAC